AAGTGCGGGCGGAGCGGGAAGTTGGCTCAAACTCGCGGGCGCACTGCCTGGTTTTGTTTGAAGGCCGGCCGGACGAAGGGAACAATGACCGACCCACTTCTGCAGAGCACCTACTCTTCTGCGATACGCACGTCCACTTTCACATGCCAATGTGGCTGCATTTTTTTGCGCTTTGCGCCGCTACCTATGCATCATCAATCTCCGGGCCCATGGTGTTGCGGCTCTTCTTAGCCATCGGCTACTGCGCGATCTTGCCAATCATTCGCCGATCTCACCGCTAACTTTGCCGCTTAGGGTGACTGGATCCTCTTCACCCATGAGGGTGGTGTCGATGTTGGTGATGTCGATGAGAAGGCTGAGAAGCTTCTGATTCCTGTCGATCTGAAGGAATACCCCTCAAACGAGGAGATCGCCGCTACTCTCTTGAAGAAGGTTCCCGAGGGTGTACACAACGTCCTCGTTGACTTCATTTCAAGGTTATACGCCGTCTACGTTGACTGCCAGTTCACGTGAGTTGTCTCGATACGTCTTCACCTTTCCAGTGCTGATGCAACCATAGCTACCTTGAGATTAACCCTCTCGTTGTCATCCCCAACGAGGAGAAGACCTCTGCTGAGGTTCACTTCCTGGATCTTGCTGCCAAGCTTGACCAAACTGCTGAGTTCGAGTGCGGTGCCAAGTGGGCTATTGCCCGCAGCGCGACAGCTCTCGGCATACCAGCTGCTCCCCAAAAGGATGCTAAGCAGACTATCGATGTCGGCCCACCGATGGAGTTCCCCGCTCCTTTCGGTCGTGAGATGAGCAAGGAGGAGGCGTACATTGCCGAGATGGACGCTAAGACTGGTGCTTCCCTCAAGCTGACTATCCTCAACGCCGTCGGCCGTGTCTGGACACTCGTCGCTGGTGGTGGTGCTTCCGTCGTCTACGCCGACGCCATCGCCTCTGCTGGCTTCGCTAGTGAACTCGCCAACTACGGTGAGTACTCTGGTGCTCCTACCGAGACTCAGACCTTCCACTACGCCCGCACCGTCCTCGACCTCATGCTCCGTGCTCCCCAACACCCAGATGGCAAGGTTCTCTTCATCGGTGGAGGTATTGCCAACTTCACCAACGTTGCCTCAACATTCAAGGGTGTCATCCGCGCCCTGAGAGAAGTCGCTCCCCTTCTCATCGAGCACAACGTCCAGATCTGGATCCGTCGTGCCGGTCCTAACTACCAGGAGGGTCTTAAGAACATCAAGGGTGTCGGCCAGGAGCTTGGCCTTAACATGCACGTCTACGGTCCCGAGATGCACGTCTCAGGTATCGTGCCGCTTGCTCTTATCCCCGGTAAGACTAGCGACGTTAAGGAATTCTCTGGTTAAGCGTGTGCTTTGTATATTAGGGTCGCGGGTGTAGATTAGGACTGCTTACGGCTCATGGCTAGACAAAGAGTTTAACGTTGAGAGCTATGCATGGAATGAGTGTTCGACGAACCCATTACCTCGCCTGCCTTGCTTACGCATACGGCTAGCGAGGAAGGAATATAACATTTAATACTTCCATATGATTGCGCTGTTTTTGTGCCTGGGGTTGAGGCGAGGCGAGATGAGGCTTCCTGTTGTTGTTGTTGATGGTGGTTCACTGTCGCTCCTCCCTTGGGGAAGGCACGACCAGCGACCTCACCTCCCCACAACACCGCAGCTGCAACCGTGCAACCGTGCGACCGTGCGACCGCGCGTTCCCTGGAATCTGGTTTAGAAATGAAAACTAAATCACGCCCTGCTTGCTGCAGGAGATACATCTGAAGTATTGCTCTCGATATAATACTCATTATTTCCCGCTCGTCCATCACAGAACAAGAACCCTCAGGCAACAGAAACCCAGCAACAACCAAAAGTCCCGCATGTTCTGATGGTAGACTTCCTGAAGAACGTTGCAGACTAAGTGCTTCCGCGAAGCAAGACAAGTTTCAGAGACCTCTGATGCGTACTGCAGTACCAAAACCGCAGGGACATGAGTTCGAGCATCGGTTCTTACTCATGTTCTTGATATAAGGATATAGCATAGTAGCTTGGTAACAATCCAAGTGTTGTGTTTCCTTCATCCTCATACTACAACCTTCAGCAGAAAGGGTGGTTATAGGAAGATTCCTTGAGGCGTGAGTTCGTGTAACAGCAGAACTTACAATTCGAGATCTCAAGACTACATCCACACAAAGATGTTGAGAGAAGATGTTGACTTGTGGTTATGGGCTAAGGGGTTGGTTGTTCTATCTTTTTGCCTGGTTCTACTTGATATTATTGCGGATAACTTAACCCATGAGTGCTGACCACTACCGGAGGTTGCAGACGAAAGACAACCGGCCATAGCGTTATTTTGTTGCCAAAGGTATCATGGCGCCTGAAACATAGTTATGAGACTGGACCAAAAGGGCAGCGTAGGTGTGACCGTGAAAGAAACGCGGAAGATTCTCGCATCTACATGCTAAATGTATCGAGAGCCTCCCTAAGTTGATTACCTTGCGCCCCTCTCACGTAATGACTACATTACATTGCATCGTATTGCATTCGAACAATTTTCTGAAGCCCTTCATCGCATCCGACTATCTTTGCTCGTAACATCCGTGGAAAATGATTATTTGGCCCTTCTCCTTGAGGACAAACAAGGAAGCTGGTCCGCCTGTGCTCACACTCACCTTTCTACACAAAGTCTAAGAATTGACAAGACAAGAGGCAAGAGTGGCCACTGTCCATCCAGCAGGATAAGAAACTCAATAGGGAACATTTCCGTTTCCTCAAGGTATTCCACCATTATTGGATTCCAGTACCTGTTTCCAGCAGAGTGGTCTGGTTACAGAAAACAACTGCTAATCCAGGTGTGCAGTTTCGTTTTCTGGCATGGTCGTAAATTCGGCGCAGAGGCCAGTCGTTCCGAGCAGGGCGGCCGTATTGTCACCAAGAATGCTAAAAGTCTCCGCAAGAAGCATGGAGTTTGCTAAAGGAGGGGAAAGTGAGTGGCCAAAGACTGCTAATAAAACTCAACATGTAATCACTTCACATAACTTGCCGATATTCGCACACTCGCTCGTTGCTTATACTCTTGTTAGCCGCGCTTCTACCGTTGTCTGCACCATTGACGTGTTGTCGCAAAGAAGGTCTCTGTATAGGAAGCTTTTGCTTTTTGCTACCGCGAATCTCATCAAACATGTAAGCTCCGTATATGCATGAATATATCTTCTCCTTTTTACCATCGCAGAGTAAGATGACCAGCACCTACACTCCTGTGACAACTCGTTGACTTATATCATCCTCCGCATCCATTCGTCCATGACATCAAATAGCGCACCCAACCGAACTCCATCCTCATCTTCTCCCGCAGTCAATACCTTGACCACATTTCTCTTTCGACCATGCCTCAATGTAAGTTCTCTCAATGGCGGCATAGAAACCAACATGTCCCTCCACGACCCCTCCTTCGCCCCCACGACCTTTTCGTTCTTAATCCAAACATTAAAATCCATAACCACGGGATGGAAAACAATCTCCTGACTGGTCCGTATAAGGCCCAAGCATCTCCTCATTAGGCTGATCTCATTGCGTACGCCGACGGAAAAACGTGTTCCAGAAGGCTGGAATCCATCCTCTATGCTTTGCGGCGTGATCTCGAGCTCAAGGTCAAAAGTCATAGGGACCATGTTATATATTTGCAAACCACGGGACGGCTTCAAGTAGAGCATTTCCGCTAATAAAGGGGAGTCACCAGGGATGAGTTGCCGCCACACGTTGCATACGCGCTTGGCACGAAGCAAATCCCAGAAATCGAGGTGGATGAATACGGTCTGGAGTACTTCGGCGGGGAGGTCTGTCATGCCCTTTTTTTGTCCGTTTCCGTGGTGTGTGGTGGATGTTCTGTCGAACATTTGGCGCACACGGTCTGCGTAGTTGCCTATGCTGCTGCGGCGACTGTCTCGCGATATCTCAGAGTCCCAGGAGCGCATTGATGAGGCGTCTGCGTCTACGGGCAGAGCTGTGATGGAATGATTGCGGATGGAGTGGCCGGATGCGCTTTGTTTGCGCCGATTAGTCGTGTCCTTGAGCATATCGGAGAAGCGCGTAAAGGCAGAGAAATGGGATTGATGCTGAAGATCCATCATGGTTCCTGACTGTTTGGCTGTAGTTGTTGCTGTGACTTGGAGTTCAGCTCCTGCTTGGGGGGTTGGTGTAGCTTCCTTCCAGTGCTGCCCTGAGGGCTTTGATACGAGATATAATTAGATCTCAGCCGCGATGACGATGCGGGGTGATGATGTGTAACGTAGTCTCCAGTGCAGGGTTGTATCTCTTGTGTCCTAGCGATACTCTACTGGTGAGAAACTCTCTTTGATTGTATAGGAAGCGGTGTGAATAGCATCGATCGAGAAACTGGGAAGTAACGACGTGGAACCGCAGCTGACAGGTCATTTCCACTAGCCTGTTGTGGCTTACATGGCACGGGAACCACATGGGGAGGCCGGCAAAAAGCAACTAATACATATGCCACATGGGAGGATCGGCATTGTTTGCTTGATGGCTTGCGATGCGTATCAGGGAAGGTGAGGTTGACGGTCTGTTCTCATGATACGCTACAAGGGTACAGTTCCACTATTCTGGCCGATGTTGACCATTGAACATACATCATGGCGCCGTCTTCCCGTGTGTAAGACCACATGCCCACAGAATGCGATTGTTTCAAGATGGTATGTTGTGTTGTATTGATCTACGGTTGCATGGCTTTACCAACCAATATTCTTATTCTTGAAAATTATCTCTCTACGCGACAACAGAGCACTGCAGTACGTATGGAGCGGCGCAAAGCACGCTCGTCTTGAGACGACTATTGTGCCAAATCTCCCGAAGATGCTCAAGGATCCCTCTTGGCTTACTCGTGGACGTGATAAGCCTGGTCTGGCGCGAAGTCTCTAAAAGTGCCCACCGAGTCCGTGATTGAAGATCAATGCATGTTAGCCATGCATCACGCTCTCTTCAGCCGACCTCAATCGCAGCCAATGCGCCGATGACTTCTTGGGCAACTCCTCCGTTTTCCACCACCATCTTTGTGACTTGGGATATTAGTCCTCTCTTCATGCCGCCTCGGGGTGGTGTCCAAACGCCCGAGGTCGCCAGCAGTTCGCGTTGAGTGAGCGCATGGGCACTGGAGGTGGGAGCTGTACCGCCGGTGGCTGAGTTCATCGAGTTGGGCACGCCGGGTGGAGTAAGATGGGACGGGGGGTCGATGGTGCGTATCGAGACGATGCGCGCGCCTGTGGAGGAGGTTGTTGAGTTTGTGCACGCGATGGCAAGGACTGCGTCTGCTACTGCGAGTTCCTCCTTGGCCGGGTCGAAGATGATGTTTGGTCCTACTGCCATGGCAATAATGATGACTGGCGGCTTCCCTAGCTGGGTAGCAGTCTTGTTTGTTCCGGCGTGCTTGGGGTATAGAGACACGGCGGCATCCCAGTCGTCGTTGAACAGTGGGTCTTCGTCCTTTTCCGACTTGAGGGCGGGTAGGAGCGTGGTGAGCAGGGCGAGGTGGGTGGTCATGGACAGCAGGGCGAGCGGGTAGGAGAGTGGGGGTGACAGCAGCAGGATGTCGACGTAGAGCTTCCAGTGGAAGCGTGTGTTGATGTACAGTCGGTCCTTTAGCTCTCCACTGGCAAGCAAGCTCTCGGTGAGCATGGAAGACAGAAACACGGGCAGCGCATCGTCTTCACGGAAGCCTGGGACCTCGACGCTCATCTCGACCCACGCGTTCTGGCCCTTGGCCTTGGTGTCGTCCGTCTCTTGGCCGTCGCCCATGTCCACGTCCTCTGGCTCTCCCAGGGTCGGGCGCTGGCGTGACCTCTCCACCTCGGCCTTGACGCCGACGAGGGCCTCGGTGCCATCCTCGAGGGCGATGCGCGCACTCCCGTTTGCCGTGGGCAGTACGTCATACTCGGCGCGCATGGAGCGAAAGTCGCGGGGCCCTTTGGTGACATCGAGGCGGATGGGCGGCGTCTGGGAGAGGGTGGAGCGCAGAAACGACAGCTCAGCCGGCGAGAGGTTGACGAGGGCCTGCTGAGGCGCCATGGTGGTTGGGTAGTGGTGCGGCTAACGGGACGGCGACGAGGTGTTTGCTGCTCTCAAGTTTCTTGCGCATTGATTTCGACGGGCGGACTAGCGGCCCCTTGCAGCCCTGGCGCCAGCTACTTCGCGCGACAACACCAACCTGCAGTCCAAGTGCCGTCCGCTGACCGCTGGTCCTCGGGACGCATCCTCTGGGGAATCAATACGTCGGTGTCGCCTGTAGTGTGCCTTCTTTCTGATATCTATCCCCAAGTGCACGTTATGAGAGTTTAATCCAGCCATCCGCCCCTTCGTCACACGTACCGACCGCTGCCGCCAATGTCCCCCCCGTCCTCTAAGCGGAACAGCGGCAATGGCAATGGCATCACCACCATCGACAAGCTCGACTACCCACCCCCAAACTCGCCCCGCCGCCCCCTCCTCGCCCCCGACAGCGACACCGACTCGCAGCGACGCAGCCAGGACACGAGTTACGCCGGCAGCTTCTTTGAGCAGGTCGCCGAAGGCATCTACGAGCAGGACCGCGTCAAGATGCAGCGCGCCGTGCTACGATGGCTGAGCTTCGTGTGGGCCATCGTCATCTGCCTATGCGCCGGTAGCATCACTGCCTTCTCCCTGTACGGCCATTTGTTCCAGTCCAAGCTGCACTACACCCAAGTCCAGGTCAACATAGTTTCCATCGGCGCCGAGCTCGGCCTCTACCTCCTCGTCCCCATCTTCGGATACCTCTGCGATCGCATGGGCCCTGGTGTGCCCGCCGCTCTTGCAGGTCTGCTATTCGGCTCGGGATATCTGTTGGCTGCCTTCGCCTTCAAGAGCGGTCCTCCGCCCTCGGCTGGCGGTCATGGTTGGCCCCATGGCGTCATGGTCCTAGCCTTCGCCTTCGTCGGCATGGGCACAAGCTGCATGTACCTGGCTGCAGTAACAACGTGTGCCAAGAACTTCGGGCGAGGGAGTGCAAAGGGCGTGGCTTTGGCAGTGCCCATCGCAGCTTTTGGACTGAGCGGCATGTGGCAAAGCCAGGTTGGAAGCCGACTGCTATACGTCAGGAACCCGGATGGCACCAAGGGAGATGTTGACGTGTTCCGCTTCTTCCTCTTCCTCGGCATTCTTCTGCTCTGCGTAGGCACCATCGGCTTCTTTGCCCTGCGCATCATGGACGAAGAGGAGATGATCGACGATGCAGTAGACGAGCTCGAGAGATCTGGTCTGCTGCAGCGTGACGAGTTCTTCACCCAGGCTGCGACCCATCACGGCTACGGAACCATGGAGACTCAGGACCTGTCCGACTCGACCTTTGACTTCCTGCAGTCTGAGGCTGAGCGTCTCAAGGCCAAAGCAGAAGAAGAGGCACGGAAGAAGACATGGCTGCTGAACGAGGAGACTCGTCGCTATGTCATGGACCCCACCATGTGGTGGCTCGCAGGAGGCTTCTTCCTCGTCACTGGACCCGGCGAAGCCTTCATCAACAACCTAGGCACCATCATCGAGACTCTCACACCCGCGCACGTTTCCACCAACACCTCGCCAGCAACCCATGTTTCCATCGTCGCCATCACCTCTACACTTGCTCGCTTGATCACCGGCACACTCTCTGATGTCCTCGCTCCGGTAGCTCCTTCGAACCAGCACCGCGTCGGACCAGATTCCGTTGCAAATTCCATGTCGTCTCTTCCACCTCTACAACAGCCCCGCAAGAGGTTTACTGTCTCGCGCATAAACTTCCTCTTGGCATTCGCTTTCATACTCTCCCTTGGTCAACTTCTCCTAGCGAGTGGATGGGTGCAGAACCACCCCTCTCGCTTTGCTGTTGTGTCCGCGTTCATCGGTGCCGGTTACGGAGCCGTCTTCTCGCTGACACCCATCGTCGTCTCTGTAGTATGGGGCGTCGAGAACTTTGGTACAAACTGGGGCATTCTGGCCATGACACCTGCTGCAGGTGCCACCCTCTGGGGTGCTGTCTATGCCACTGTATATCAGAGAGCTGCAGAGAACGGCGAAGCCGGCGTTCAGAAGGACCCTGAGGATGTCCTTTGTCATGGAAAGGCTTGTTATGCGTCTACCTTCTGGGCCATGACCATAAGCGTATGGATTGCCATGGGCCTCTTCTTGTGGGCTTGGAGAGGCCCTGGTGGCTGGAAGAGGAGGGGCGTTGCTGTGTGATATTCTTGTCTTTCTTTTGCATGGCGAAGGGCGTTTGTGTTCTTGTTGATATGAAGCGTTATTGCATTGGTCCCATGTTGCTCTGATGGCGTTGCATACTCCTCCTTCCTATCTATATCAATGCCATACTTGAATACTATTTTTACAGCTCTAAATATGACAAAATCAATCGTGCATTTATATCAGGACTAGAGAGATATTCAAAAGAGTGAACAGACCAAGCAAAGTCGCGGAAGCTTAGGTGGTTGGCAGCAGTGGTGGTAGCAGCTGGCGAGGCGCAAGGTGGGCAAAAAAGGTCAGTTGGGAAGCAAAAAGAAGCAAAATGTAAGTCAACACACCAGCCCGCCGCTCGACTTCCAACCCCAATAGAAGTAATCCGGCGCCGCCGTTCCATGGTGGATACCCGATTGCGGAATTGCTTCCCTCATCAAGTTGTATCCATTGCTTAGGTCCCTCCAGCATCACTGGTTACCCAAGTGAGTGAATTAAAGGACACCACAGAACTCGAACCGGGCTCCTGCTGAAGTATAGACAGGAAGTTGAGTGGGGATGACGGAGCGCTTTCTTACGGAGACCCGTTACAGGTGGCAAAATCCTAAATTAATCTTCTCATATTGCATTTGCAAATTGCAGGTGCCTGATTGACAGGCGTCCTGTATGTCCTGACGCTCGATGTTGTATGGAGTGGGGGACTTCCTGCAGCTGAAACGGAATTGCGGGGTAAGAACAACGCTGGTTAGAGGGACGTCTAATCCATGTCCCGACCGATAGGTACATCACAACCGCAACACAGATTTAAGCAGCCGTCAATATGATGTTACATCGTAATAATTTTTATATACTACACTAAGCCAAGTCACCACAAGTGTGTGGGTATCTATGTATCGTACGCCTCCCAGTGCAAAAACCAAGCTTAGTGACACCTCACGCCTTGAGGATATGCAATAGCTTCCTAATCTCACTTCGCACTTCGTCGCAACCCAAACGCTTTCCTTCATCACCTTGAACCATATCGCTGATCAACTGTTGCACATCGGCACCCACATCGCCTAAGCCTTGCGCGAAGCCACCTGGAAAGACTCCGCGACGAAGCTCCACCAAAGCTGCTATACGCTCCATACGCGTGCTGAACTTCTGTACCATCTCAAATGCTACTACGCCAAGTGCAAAAACGTCAAGTTTCTCGTTGATGCCACTACTTGCGTGTGGACGGTAGAATTCTGTGCCCACTGGTTTGAAGGTATCCGATGCAGTGCAGCTGTTGCTCAATGCCGCCACAAGCCCAAAGTCTCCGATGCGTGGCGTTAGGTGCAAGCAGTCACGCTTTGGGCAAGACTTGCAGCTTGCAACGTCGACGGAGCCATATGGGGGATACCGCGCCCTTGAAAGCGATAAGAAGACGTTTGCTGGTTTGAGGTCGCGATGGACTACACCCTGTGCATGCAGATACTCGACTCCGGAGACAACATTGTCCAGTAGCTCCAGCGATACGCAAGGATGGAAACAATGCTGTTCAACTGCCTGTGTATTGGGAGAATGGTCAGATGAGAGGAATGCGGCAAGGTTGGTCTCGCAAAGGCTCATCTGCACGTTCAGTGTAAGGACTGGTCCGAGGCTCTGGTTCTGAATCAGATGGTGAGGCGCATCGCTGTTAGATATCATACTGTCCGACATCTCTGACAGTGGCTCTGGCGAATACGGCATGTGTGACCTCGGTATGTTTTCAACGTCATCCTCCTCGTCTTCATCAACGTCCTCGACTGCGCTCATTCGGGACTTCGTCGATGATACTGTAGCGATCGTGGTTTGACTTGCTTGGCTGCCCCGACGCTTTGTGCGTCTCGTCTGCTTTAGTGTTTCTTTGTAAGACGAAATGATGGTCTCGCTCTTTGTTTCGTTCAATTGTGGTTCAGACTCGCTGAACTCGAATATGATTCCGGCGCTGTTGCTGTTCTCGGTTCTCGCGAAGGGATCTTCAACTGACATGCTTTCTAGCTTGGAGTTCAGGTCGCCAGATCCATGTGAAAAGGACGGAAATGCGGGTCGATTATCCAAAAGGTGATCCTCTCGTAACACTGTGACTTCTGGTACAGTCGCAGTCTCTGTGTTTACTGTAGTGAATTCTAGCCAAGCGTTGTGGTATCGAACGATATTGTTGTGATCGAACCGAGCCAGAGAACGAACTTCCTCAAGCATGCTTTCCAATTCTTCAGGCCCATGCTCTTGTATCCTTGCAACCTTGGAAGGGCTCACTGGTATCCTCTTTACAGCATAAAAAGAGCCGTCAAGTTTATGCTTGGCTTTGAAAACTTTTCCATATCCGCCCTTTCCCACAATCTCAAGTTCTGCAAACTCTCGGATATAGCGGTCCGTTTGAAGATGAGGATAGCCTCGCAGTTGTAGCTCTACCGGAGCTGACATACCAGACATTATATCAAAGCCAAGAGATGGCTGTTGAGGTAGAGGCGTGTGGACTCCAATCCCTGGGCGTGCAACGAGCGCCTGTGAGGATCCTTCAGGAATTACAGCAAGTTTGCTAAGGTTGCTTCGGGTCAATCGATGAATTCCCTGATTCGCAGTTGCTCGATGGCCTTGCATCTCATCGCTTGCATACGCATCGTCCACATTGTTGGAGATCTGGCGTGCAATTTCTTTATAGGCAGCTCTACCCAATCGTTGGACTTCCGGATCGGAAGGATCTTTTCCTAGTTGCTCTGCAACTTGTCGGATAGTTCGCTCTTCCAGTAGAGAGTGTAACAGCAAGTCGCGAACATTTTGCGCAGAGTTTTGGCGCAGTTCTAGAGGAGGTCGGTGGGGCTGAAGAGGCTGCCGTCCCGAAACAGCAGAATCCAGAGTCTGGATTCTTGACAGAACGCTATCCTGATGTGATTCGCTCGCCTCTTCATACTCGCTTTCTTCATCAGATGTCCCCGAGCTCGATGATGATGATGAATCGCCCGGTCTGCGAAACATAGACATCGCGAGCGGAAGGAGGGGTTGTTGTGAGTCGACACAAGACCTATACAGACCAGCTGTTACCAAACAACGGCTTCCAGAACAATTGAAGGGCTCTCTATTGTTTGAAAGTCTCCGGACGAAAAGACGCGACCGCGGTTATGCTGTTAAGACGCTTGTAACGGTGTGTTGTCCGCTGTAGCTGCAGCGCCGAGTAAAGACCAACTCGATGCCAACAGCTGTACCAGCGAAGCACCCATGAGTACACGATGTCTAGGCAAGCATCGAGCGTCGTAGAATCTCATGGAAGTGAAACGTGTCTCCTGAATTGAAGACGGAGAACACAGTAGCAGTCACGTTTAGATCGGAAGGGCGCAAGCCCAAGCGAACCCTGGAGTGGGTCTGCCTGGCGGAGCCGGTAGGCACAAGCGCGTCATTGCACGTGGCCAGGCGATCGTGAACAATTCACTTGCGTGCAAGCGCTTCTCAATCACTTTAGCAGCTTTTGCGGAGCGATACCATTCTGTGTTGCTCTGGTGTTTCTCGAACATTATGTCGCGTTCTAATCGCTCCCTACGCCCTCAAATTCCGCCAATACACGGCTGATTGATCAATCTTCCAGGCACCATGCCGCGTCAACTACCTTGGGCGAAGAAGAGTGGCGGAAGTCGGGCACAAACCAAACCAGCATCATCGCGGCAAACGACAAAGTCACATAATGCGACTGATACAGATGACGGTTTCTTCGACGACACGGTTCTGGCAAGCAGAACAGGAAGATCAGATGAGTCGGACGACGACCTTCCCGGACTTCCAGCAGAACCATCAACTCCCCGAACTAAAGCCAGGGCCAAAGACGCACTGCGCAAGAAACGTGAAGGCTCATCGTCTCCGCCTCCAGTTGACAACCTCGAGCAGCCATTTGTGGAAGGCATGCATAGAGCTGCATCTAAGTTCGATTTGCGCGACGATGAATGGATGATGGTCGAAGATGAGTTTCTGGAGACGGCAAAGCTATTCACGCGACACTTGCATATCGCCGAATACGAGAGGCTCAAAACGACCATCGAAGAGAAGAAAAAAGAAGCGGCCGACATTGCAAGACCAGTTGTTGCGAATGCAAAAAGGTCGACTACTGGCGCTATGAAAGAGAAGGCCAGGGTTCAAGAATTGAAGCAGAAGAAGGCCATTCGTGATGTGTTTGCGTCGAAGGGAGAAGAAGAGGACAACAAGGAAGAGCAGACCATGCCATCTAGTCGAAGCAACCTTGTGTCTACATTTAGGTCCTTGTCGAACAATGCTACGATCGCATGTAAAGGAACACCCGGGAGATTTGCAGCACAAGATAGCGATAACGACAGCGATGATTTAGATGCACCGCGCCTCTCAGCTAAGCCACCATCCAGAGCCACCACCACGCCGACCCTAGCCCGAAGGGGCAGCATAGTGGGAGGGCAAGATTCTGCCTCGTCTCCTGCACCTGATCCGAGGCCACCCAACGCTACCTTCGCTAAGCCTGCGCCACCTAAAGCCGTAGCAAAACCTCGCTCAAGATTGGGTCGCGCAACGCCCTTCGATATGCTTGATGACTGGGATCTGAAGAGTACAGCATCGTCACAGTCTTTGCTAGAGCAGCCTGCTAAGACACAAAACACATCGCGCGCACCACGTCTTAGCGGACACTCACAGTCACCTGCTTCTCTCAACGATAGAGGCGATGCTAAGGTGAGACGATCGACTATTTCGTTCGACGAAGACGTACCTATCAGGAATCACAGCAGTAATGATATTGGCGGTGTCAGCAAGCAAACCACGGATCGCCTTGCAAAACGAAAAGCTCAGCGGGAGAAAGATGAGAAAGAGAGGAAGCAGAAAGCTGCAAAGTTGGATGACATACCCACGTTTTTGTTCTGAGTTGTTTGCCGTGATTAACGGATCTTGAGTTCGTCGCTTCTGTGTTGGTTAGTTGCTTCGAGAATATACCTGAGACCCTTAGTTGCGAGTTTCTCCAGGCTATTTGGGTACAAGGATGCTCGTCTCTTAATAATAGGATGCACCCAGAACATCAGACCATACCCTAAAACTATACACTATTACTTTGTTGTTTGGTTTGTCATTAGTTTATTATGCATGTTCTCTACGTTCATTTAGAAAGGATAGGCTTCTTCAGGACCCATCGTATTCGTTGTTGTCATGAATCTCGTACATTCTCATAAGTCTCGTGTATGCTACCCTAACGGGCACATGTATGACTCCAAAAAGAGAGACATGTGGTCTCAATAGAGAGCCCAAAGGTAGGGGCTTCTCCGACCCCAACAGCAGCTGTATCATCCGCCACAGGAGCCTATCCGAACAACTTGTCCAAAACACGGTTGAAAGCATTGGTCTCTGGCTTCTCCACAAACGTACGATGGTACTCTTCGATCTCGGCGAGATCAGTCACAAGATCCGCTTCGTGTGCTGGAATCCACTTTGTTCTCTTAACAAGCTTCCAGAATATGAAGAGGACGGGAAACGCGAACACCCTGTTCCATAGATCAGCATCTCGCCATATTGATGGCGAAGACAGCCACGAAGGTGAATACTTACATCAAGTACGAGAACAAGAATGAAGGCACATCCCACATTCCCTTCAAAAACACAGTATAACCTAGATGTGAGTGTAAGCATTCAGTCTACGTCTCACATGCAGTTCTTGTGTGGATAACTAACCTCCAACGAACGTCATAACGAAAGTCGTGACGAGGCCATACCATGCCGCGTAAGGCTGTGCCATACCTTTGTATGGCAATGTGTCTCGATCCAAACCCTGTACCTTACACGCCTTGTAGAACTTCAGGAAGGTAAAGCACATGACGCTGAAGTTGATAAGCTGGGACGCCGTTACCAAGCTGACGAACCAGTTTAGCACAACAGCAGAGTTTTGGCCAAGCTGAAGGAAGGAAAGGAGGGCAATCATGAGGACGAAGAGGACACAGTAGAAAGGCACACCTTGCTTTGTGCACTTTGTAAGAAATTTAGGTGCCTTTCCTTCCAAAGCAAGACCGAAGAGGGAACGAGATGCGCAGTAGACGTAGGAGTTTCCGGCGGAGAAAGCGGAGGCAAGGACACCAGCATTGACAACGTGAGGCAGGCCTTCGATACGGAGTCGGTTCATGGCGATGACGTAGGGTGAAGCTGCCGCACCTGGCTTGCCGTCACGGAAGGCGCCAATCAACTCTGGGTCGTTGAAAGGCACGTTGATACCCACGGCTAGCGAGCCGAGTACGAAGAAAGTGGTCAAACGGTAGAAGACGGCGTTGTAAGCGCGAGGCATGACTTTGCGTGGGTTCTCTGTCTCTCCTGCAGCCATTGAGACATAATCGGGTCCGGCAATTGTGAAAGAAGCCTGGATCAGGCACTGGAGAAAGCCCAGGAAGCGACCGAGCTGGCCTTCGTAGTAAAGTTCTGTGAAACTCCCCGGGTTCTTCCAGTAGCGGAATCCGTAGCGGTCTTTCTCAGGGTTGCCTCCCAACATGGAGATGAAGGTAAAGATGAGCAGACCGATGATAAGAAGCACTTTACCGATGGCGGCCCAGAACTCCGTCTCACCGTACCATTTGACGGCCATCATGTTTATTACACTAGAATTTTGTCAGTACTTGGTTCATTCGCATTGCCTAGAGAATTACTAGAAGGCAAAAGCTCAGCACAATGCTTCACAATTACTCTGAAGCAGGCGCCAAAAGCATGCAAAAGTCGGATCGTAGAAATGGAGTTGTCGACGTACGCGTAGAGCACGAGCACGATGGCGATGATGGCGCCTGTAGGCACTACATCAGACCAGAACCCGATAATGACATTGCAAGCCACGATTTCAAAAGGCACGAGAGCAGCTTCGAAAACGAAGAAGTTCCAGCCAGCAGCGAATCCAAACGCGTCGTCCACGAATCTTCCAGCGAATCGAATGAAGGGCGAGGATATGGGGAGAAAAGTAACCATCTCTGCGATACCTGTGGAATTGCATTAGCTGTAGCTCGGCATCTTAGCGCGAGCGGTAAAGAAGGGTGCTTTGGGATATTCGATAAAGTGCTTGGGCTTTGTCGCTTTGGAAAGGACTTGTCGCTTTGGAAATTGGGAAATGGAGAGTCTCACTGAGCGTCACAGCTAGAATGACAGTACACCTGTACGATATTAGCACTAGCTCATCGCCGTAGACAGCGCGATTGAGATTGCATACCATAGCGAGAATGCAAGGAACAAACTTCCAGGGCCTCCATTCATCAAACCTCGACCAATCTGCACATATAGAGCAGTGCCAATAGTTCCTCCGATACCGATAAGCTGGATATGTCTGCTCTTGAGCTTTCGGTGCGTCTGGTCGGTAATTGCTCTCACAGACCCGACCGCACTAGGGCGGCGAGGGCCGTCATCGTAATGGTTCTTCTCTTCATCGGCGGCAACGTAACCTGGGTTCTTCACCTCGTAAGGCCCACCGCCAATTTCAAAGTCCTTGCCGTACGAGGTCATTGTATTTCAAAGTCGTAAACCTCAAAGCTAGACTTCAGAGTATGGTTTTGAGAAGTAGAGCAAAATACTGCACTACGAAAGCCATGTACCAAGAATCAGGATATGGGGCTGTGTTCTTAAGGGTTGTAAGCAAGGCTGATCGTCGTCGTGCGAGATAACGAACGGAGTTGCGGAGCGGGCTGTTAAATACCTCTCAGTTACTCTAGCGTGAGCAAGTGGAAACCCTGCATAGGCGGATTCCTCGTGGTGAACACTGTAGATCGCGCTAGGCTGACTGGGCATTCGCAACTATCCCGCTTCTTTGAGGTTTGGGCTGAATGTTAGTGGAGGGCGAATCGCAGATGAGCGATTTGGCGTTTGCCATGGTGGAGCTGCGCCAGGCATATTCACATTTCCTCTGTCCTTCACTGGCCAAACGGCTGCTCATCTGGGGGAATATTCAGGGCTGGTGAATCCTTGTCTCGTGCGCCGCGTGTTGGGCAAAAGACCCGATAACGACGTTTTCGGTGCAGGGGTCGAGGTACCCGGCATCGCTAGCTGGACATTGTTGGTTAGGAGAACCCCCAGGCGGGGTCCTGCGTACACAATCAGCGCTGGCGCAACCCACTGTACTCTCAAGACCGTGAATGCTTCGTATGATGCATCTGGCAGGCTCTTTCGCATGTTCAGCTTGCGCAACTCTTGCTATCGGGCCACATCATCTTCCCTGTCGGCTTCTCCGAATCCTTCTCACCAGTTTTGTGGGACAAAACCCCTCCATCTCTTGAGTGTATCTTGGCCTGCGATTGTTCTCCAATGACCGAGCCCGCGTTGTTTTTCGAACGGCTGAAGCTACCTTGGCGTTTCTAGGCTGGTGGGTTGGCTCCAGGCTTGCTTCCTTGCCTCCGCTGTATGCCAGAGGCTTGTCTATACTTCGGAGGCGGCCACTAGCTCGGACCCAAGCCAACTTCTAGTCCTCACTTGACAGCCCCCCGCTGCATCGAAAAGGACTAGAAGCTGCGTGCCGTAAATCGAGACTCTTGCTTGGTAGATACGTAAACTCGTGTGTCGCTTTCCTTGCCTATGGGAAATGACGATGTAATGCTGAAATGCTGCGACGTGACGCTACAGCGCCACGAGATAGCGTGTTGGCTGTCAGATTGTCAGCCTTAGGTCGCTTGAGCCAGCCTCTTTCTTCATTTAAGACATAAGTCATGATACCTCTGCCAAGCAAGCTTCAGCTTACCGGTGGATGTAGAAATAACGCACCCCACGCTGTCGCTGACTCTTGGCGGGAAGTCTTTGCCCATGCTTCGCCTCCCCGAACTACACGGGACGATAGCTTTCCATCTGCAGACCTCCCTACACCGATGTGTTGACAGTAAGGTTATTATGAAAGACGGCTGGCAGATACCATGCTTTGCTGATCTGTGAGCGCGAGTCGCGCATAGTAAAGTAGCGTATAGAGACTTCCTTCCATTGTCCTACACGTTCGAAATACCGCGACCAAGAAATCCACAAAGCTTGGGATTACGTATACCGAACAAGCAACCAGCAACATCGCGTCTGCCGTCACTTTCTGGCTCGTTCATACATCCTGCGCTTCTGCAGTACGGAGCGTCGGGCGACCAGCCGTATGCTAGTTCGGGGAACGGTGCGGCATTGCGATACTGGACATCGCGACAGCGACACTTGTGTATTCTGCAGGCGGGTCGCGACAAGTATTTGAGAAGTTGAAAACATGCATAGGCGCAAATACTACGACAACAGTCGGGGCAGCAGGTGCTTAAGAGCTTTGAAGCTATCTTGGGATTCAGAGCTGCGAGTGGCTACTTTGAGAGCATGCGGTTTGTAGCCCATGAGTCGAGGTTCCGTTGCAACAACCGACCTAAAGATTGAAACTTGTGGTGCGCATGGTGCTCGGGCGACGATTTAATGATTTTGAGGGCGTGTTTGGTGTTCATTGCGGTGCTCCGGACACCTCAGTGGTTGTGGACAGAGAAAGGAAGGCACGACGCAATGTAGTTGCACCATCTCGGCGAGCTGGTGACGGCGAAATGGCCACTTCGTGAAGAGATGGGGCGTTCAAGAAGTAGGGGTTTGGTCATGAAGGGAAAGCAGATTACGAATTAGTCATAATGTGGTCGCTGGACCTTAGATATACATGTTAAGGGTACAGTTTATGAAACCCACCTCCCCCGATAGCGCCTTCGCTGAACTGATGCATGCTTGATAACCGATAGCGAGTGAATCGCTAGAGAGAGTCGTGACCGACAGGCTTCCGCTTGACAGAGGGACTTGATGAAACTTTCGGCAGATCTGCAGTAATGTCCTTCATCGTCATGAAGTCCTCGTCCTCTGTACGCTCCAGCTCCCGGTTCAACTTCTCAACCGTCGTTACTTCTCCCAACCATCGCTCCCCAGTTTTATGATCGAAATGCACTGGCTGAACCAGTCCTTGATAGCGCGACATATCTGCCAGCTTTGGTGGATAGATGATAGTCGTCTCCCTACGTTCGAAGCCCTCTTCGGTTATGTACGGCTTTCCCTCAATAATCTGCGGCTCCGTGCGCCATTCGAATGGAGTTGCTGGAAGTACTGGCTCCTTCTGGACTATGTCCCACCATCTGTTCTTACCAGTGCGATTTGGCAACTCGTCGGCAGAAATCTCGATCAAGCCTTCGCCATCAGGATTGGGAATGAAGTGACGAGGCGGGAGGACTTCGGTCTGAAGAACCGGCTGTAGCCGGTGGTAGTATGTATAATTGTGGATCTCGCGGTGGATGCGCTGCTGTATGACCTCGTGCTCGTGTGGCTTGATAACTTCGTGTACAACGGCTATCGGTCTGTTAGACATATCGCAATCGCAACCATTGAGTGGGACAGAGCTTACCTGGGGCGACTGTGACATCCTTATCCGTATCCACAGTATCTTCCAGATTCACAACGCCTTCAAGCATAGCTTTCTGCTTCGTCTTCCAGTCATGGCTACCGTCCATGCCATGGCGGTCCTTCGTAATTGCAAGACCTGGAACAGGCTTCACGGCCAGCGCATCATGCTTGGCAGACCCTCCCACCGGATGACCACTCTTCATCAGGTCATGGTTCTCATATGGAGAACTCTCTCTGTGCGATCGAACGCTATTGTCAAAGCCGGCGTTGCTGACTTGGTGTCTAGAGGGTTCAGACGGTACTGCGCGTATCGTGCTGCCAGGGCCAGTGCCATCGACCGGTTGTTTGGAGCGATCGACGTGATGATGACTTGAAGAATCTGCTACTACGTCAATGTTTTGTCACAAAATTCTGACTGTTTTCTGTGGCGTACTTGGTGTGTCGGGAAGAGGCTTCAACCGCCCCGCATCAGTCGATGGTCTATATCGAAGATGTCTGTCTGGTACGTCTGCCTCGGCCATTGGGTCTTCTTCAGGAGCTAAAGCTGGAAGGTATGATCTGTAGTCATCCGCAATGGATCCATTGAGGTCCGTGTTCGGAGATGCTCCCGCATGACTCGCTCGTCCGTCGTGGTAGGCAGAGTCCCGTGGTTGACTCCTCGTGTCCGAGTGAAAAGCATCGTTTGCGATTGCGGAATCTTGCTGGAGACGGCTGCGCGGTGATGCTGGGTGCTGCTGGGTGCGTGGACTAGTCTCCTCGGACTGTTCGTACGAGGCTCGAGGGGATTGCGTGGGCGTAGACTTCTTTCTCCTATGGAGAACGGACTTGAGCTTCTCTTCGATCTTTTCTTTCATGTCGGCGGTTCAAAATGCAGAGGAGTGACAAACGCAGGTGAAAGCTAGGTGCGACGCCGATCTATTGTCTGATTTCACGGAGCACGGTGACAAAAGTAAGGGTGAATGACCTCACAGCACCTGCAGGCAAACGAAACCTTCAGCACCGTCCGGCAGGAACGAAGCCGAAGCCTGGAGAGTGTGCATACAGCTAGCTAGGATGCATATTTGGAGCTTCTGGAGTCTGGACATTTGAGCAAACGGTCCGTAAGAAATAATAGCTTCGCTGATGCCGTGTCACAGACGGCGGAACCAGTGCCTTGAGTCTTACAAACGGCAACTTTGGAGTGCTCTCGCCCCGTGTTCGCGGCGTCCGCGGAGCGGTCTAGACTTGATCCTCTCGTAAAGCTCTCTTTCTCTCTACTCGACTGAGTCTACTCGAGCTGGTGGCATGTTTTGCTGCAGTTGGTTCACGACAATGGCACGAGTGGCGACTCAGCATGACGTATTCCACGGTACTTGTGTTTCGCAGCGTACGGCTGGTTATTCGGAGTACCGGAGGCATGCATGATAAAAGCAAACTGCACTCATTGCCGCATCGGTATGTCACAGTGGAGATCAGAGCGGCATGACGACAGGGAGGGGGAGTCTGGTCGCGGGCGGCTCCACTGTTGATCAACTTAGCGTACCAAAACAATGGCGATCTTGCTAGCATGCTCCTAGTCGCAGCCAGGCTACCGGAACTTCCGAGACATCTGGAGGCGCAGACTTGGGTGTGACGAGGGTGGATGGAGTTGTTGATGAAGAAAACAGCATTGTGTGATTCCTGAGATGTGCTGAAGCTGTTCGCGGGAAGCTGCACGGACCCGGTGTCACCGAATGGCAGGAGCACGACCCTAGCGCCGATCCCTCCGATCACTTAGATGTCGGGTCGCTCCTCTCCAGATTGGTCCAGCACTTGAACATTTTGAGAAGTTCACCCAGAGAGTGTTGCGACGCTTTGAATCCTTCGTGATGCCCAATTCCTGTTTGGACACGCAGCATGACTACATCATACCAACTAGGCTGCGGTAGGCGTGGAACGACAGCACCGGCTGCATCATAGTGCCAGTATGCATTGTCAAGCGTACCAGCATGGGGCGCCATGTTAAGCGCTACCCACTGAGCTAATGTCCCTGACGTACATCAGGTGTTTGTGGCGCGCTCCCGGCCAACCAATCGACTCTCCTGGGAGCATCGATCGAGACGCAGATAGCTTCAATCCAGTGTTGCTGCCCCACGATGATGGCTTCCTGCCCTGTGAACAAGGAACGCAGTCAGCACATGCCGACGTTACCTGGAACAGAACTCCTCCATTACGTCGTCGTGCATTTGTCCTACTAGCGTCCTCTCTGTATAAGAAGGCAGTGAAGCAGCTCCTTGAGAGCATCATCATCACATCTACCACAACTCTTCCACACCGCACCAACAACCAATCCACCACCCACACCAAAACTACCATCCAACAAACAACCACTACACAATAATCAAAATGGACAAGGCCAAGGCAGCTATCACCGACTTCATGGGCCGCTCCGGTCACCACGACACCACTGTCCACGAGGCAGTTGCCCCCGCTGTTCAGCACGAGGTCATCAAGCCTCACGTACACGAGGAGATCAACACTGCTATTGACAAGGAGGTTCACCAGGACCACTACCACCGCACTGTCCAGCCCGTCCACGACCGTGAGGTTCTACCAGAGCAACACACTGCCAAGCTCGGTGCCGTTCAGCACCGCGAATTTGACCACCGCGATGCCGATGCCACTAAGAGGGCCTTGATCGACGACCAGGCTCGCTTTGCTGACGAGCGCCGCATTGAGGACACCACCCACAGCCAGAGTGTTGCCCCTACTGTTGGCGGAGAGCACGTCCACCATGTAAGTTGAACAACAACACGTCAATATCCCACCAAACACTGACATCATTTAGCACATCCACGAGACTATCCAGCCCGTTGTTCAAAAGGAGACCATCCAGCCCAACGTTGTCCACACCACCGTCCCCATCCATGAGGTTCACCATAACAAGGCTACCCACCATGAGACTACTGCTCTCCCAGCCATGACCATGGAGCAGTTCAAGGCCAAGGGCGGTGCTCTCACCGGCCGCGAGGAGCGCTACGATGAATTTGAGGGTGTCCCCAAGAACATCGGTGGCGCTGGTGGCATCGGCGCTGCTGCAGGTCTCGCCCACAAGACCACTTCCCACGGCCACGAGCACGCCCGCCACGGCGACTACGACGCTACCCCCAACCACCACAGCGATGCTGGCCTGAGGGAGGGAGGTCTTACTCACAACTCTACTAGTACCGGTACACACAATCCCCTTGACCGCAACAACGACGGCAAGGTCAGCGCCAAGGACTTGACTGGTAGCCACTCCAACACCTCCAGCGGTGTTGGTGACCGCAACCACGACGGCAAGGTCGATAGCCAGGACCTCAGGGACCCTGCCCGCAGCGGTAAGCAATTCTTCTCAACATGAGCAGGAAACACCATACTAATTCAGCCCAGGCAACCACGGTGCTACAGGTACGAAAGACCCCAGTGGACATGTCGTTGGCGGTACCGACAAGGGCCACATGGAGCACCGTCCCAACGAGGATGGCAGCTTGCCCAAGGCCCTTACCGAGGACCGCTCAAAGGCCATCCCCCACTCCCAAGCATCCGAAGAGGAAGCGCGGAAACTACAATCTGAACATGAGGCCAACAAGAAATAGGTCAACACAAGCCTTCGCTGATGGATAAGCTCAACCCTAGTAAGTGTCATATCCACATTACTATTTGTTAACGTTTACTAACCATTTCCAAAGAGGTTGACGCCGATGGTGACGGCAAGGCCGGTTTCATGAAATAGATGCATTTCACTATGCACAATCACGACGACTGCATGCGAGATACCAAGGAAAGCTTTCCTATGACATTGTATAATTAGCCTAGTAATGAAGTAATCACTACAAACTTCAAAATAATGTCCTCCGTTGTTCCATGATCCATAATGTTAAAGTGTCCTTTCGCCTATGGGCTGCCACTGAAGAATTGGCCTGTCGGTGGGTACGAGCACCACCCTTCCGCCTGACCAACCACCTAGTTCTCCCCTCCCTTCAAAGTTTACGTCAAGCGTATCAACTGATGCTAGACCGGTTTCGTCGACCTGGCTACAGTCGTGGCTGTGACAGTCAGCATTGACACGTGTTGGCGTTTGATAGACCTACTACATCAAGCTCAGATGTGGCATGTATTGCTCTTCAGCCCAAACCTTCGAGTTTGTTTCATCTTCAAACCCATTGACGTGGCTTCTGCACTGTTGTGCTAGTTGTTTGATCCCTGCAGCCTTCGCACACTTGATGTACAACTTCCGGAAGAAGACATCTTCGCTGCCTAGACGTTCGAATTTGATATGTACGCTCTGTCCAGATGGTAGATCGAGTGATTCAAGCCAGGCCTGAGGATCTGATCCATACTTGGACGGCGATATCTCCGAAGTCAGAGTCACATGAGGAAGGAAGCGGTGGGGTGAGTTGAACTGTTTCGATGTTTTGTCGATAAGGCGAGGAAGGACTTCATTAAGGGGATGATCTGCTGGCGGAAGCAGCCATAGAGACGAACCAGGCATCTTTATAAATATTGTCTAGAATCTCAAAGGAGGATGCAATGTCAAGTCAAGCATTACATACCCTCGTAATGCCCCGCACGGTGGTTGGGCACTAACGCCACGTGGCTAGTGTCCGAGTCAGCCACATCCTGACGTCTGCAGCTGAATTGCATGTGAAAGTCCGCGTCAAGTCCGACAAGCGTTCCCACATGCTCAACGGCACTACATCTCCGCAGACGCGACGAATGAACATGCGACTATTGACACAGCGGCGCTATCAGCCGATCACTATCCGAAATAGCTCTACGCCATGGGTGAAGCGTTGAACGTCGTGTCGGGGGCGCTGTGGAGTTTCCTCCTGTGCTTCTTCGACGTGGCTTTCTTTTGGCAACGAGTGCGTCAGCTTCCTTTCGCTACTGAATGGCCATTCTGGGTCAATTACTACATCTTCGGATAGAATGCTGATATGTTGAAGAAACTATACGCGTGGTGGGTGCAGAAGAGCCAGAGAGATCTACTTCTGGAAGCTATTGGTGATGCGCGGCTATTCGAGGAATGGGAAGCGGTTGCGTATAAGCTCGATGAAGTGCTCGACTACGACATGTGGTAAGCAGACTTGCCGTTCAATTCTAAGTGGAAATACTCGCACCGGAAAATTGCTGATAACGACTCCATAGGCGACAAACCGCCATAAGCAAAGACTACGACCATCGCCTTATCCATCAACGTCTCTCCGCCATCTATGAAGCTCAAGAGGACAATGACATCCTTGGGCTCATCAACCTTCTTCGCAGCGGGCTCGTACGCAATCTCGGCAACATAACAGCGCCGAACCTGTACAATCGCGCATACGCCGGCACGAAGCTATTGATCGAAGACTATGTCACGCAAGTCGCATACGCCATCGAGAACCTCACCCAATACCCTACGTCGCGAAACTCGGATACTGGCTTAACGAACCAGGCAAAATTGGATGTTCTCCATGACACGAGGCAAGCGTTTGGTAGATCTGTGTTGGTGCTGCAGGGTGGACAGGTCTTCGGCATGTGTCATCTTGGTGTAGTAAAAGCGCTCCATCTGCGTGGGTTACTACCTAGAATCATAGCTGGGACTGCTACGGGTGCTTTGATAGCGGCACTGGTGGGTGTGCATACCGAAGATGAGCTATTGGAATTCCTGACAGGCAACACGATTGACTTGACAGCATTCACAAACCGTCCCTACAGGAAGGGCGCTGGAGGAACCGCTTGGATAGGCACACTGATACGCCGCTTGAGGCGATGGTGGAAAGAAGGGCACTTTCTTGATGTTGGAGTCTTGGAAGATGTCCTGAGGGCAAATGTGGGAGACTTGACGTTTGAAGAGGCTTATACGAGGACGAAAAGAGTGCTGAATATCACCGTAACAACAGCTAGTGGTGGAGGAATACCGAACCTTCTGAACTACCTAACCGCTCCTAATGTCGTAAGTACCCAGCCCTCTCCATGTGTACAAGCAGAGAATAACTTTCCTAGCTTGTCTGGTCTGCAGCTCTTGCCTCCAACGCCACAGCCTCCTCAACTCTCTACCATTCCGTAACAATGATGTGCAAGGACGATGAAGGCAATATTGTTCCTTGGTCTCCAGCTTCAAAAACCACTTTCCGTCCCTACACACACGCCTTGTACCGAGACCGCGAGTCTCCCCTTCATCGCATCGGCGAGCTCTTCAACGTAAACCACTTCATCGTCTCGCAAGCCCGGCCCTACCTCGCACCTTTCCTACGCTCAGACTCACATCATCCCAACCCCAAACAAGATGGCCGCTGGCGACTGAGCATGCCGATCCTGCGTCTCGTAGTTCTAGAGATTCAGCATAGGTTGCAACAACTCGATGAGCTGGGTCTACTGCCCCCTTCCATCCGTCGTTTCCTCTTGGACGAAAACATTCCAGGCCCAAGTCTCACGCTGGTGCCTGAACTTACACCAAGCGACTTCTTCAAGCTGCTCGAGAATCCGACGAAAGAGGCGATTGACTATTGGATATTGAAGGGAGAACGGAGTGTTTGGCCGGCAGTCACAGCGCTCAAGATCAGGTGTGCGATTGAGGTGGAGTTGGATAGGGGATACCAGCTTGTGAGGAGGAGGAAGCCTTTTGATCCTGTTCCACCAGGTGGAGGTTTAAAGAAGAGCGGGAGCAGAGGGGATGTACAGACTGCTTACGGGTCCGAGGATGATGGAAGAGTAAGGGAAAAAAGACAAAGAGCGAGGGCTGCGAGCTTTGGGGGAAACGGGTACTTTTGAGCAAGCACAAAGATGCTCGGTTTTGATGCGTTGTACGTTGGCTAGAGAAGTCACCTGAAGATATACGCAGTACTTTACATCAACATACCCTGAAACGAGATACCGTGTATGTCTTCAGGGCAGACTGTCGTCGTGGACTCAAATTACTGGGTACAGCTCAGAGGGAACAAGCTTCTCTGTACTTTGCGGTAGCTTTTCCTTGTATCTTCATGGCCACTGGCTGTACCTGAAAGTGATTGAGTGGGCCCATGGAAGCATCGCGTTAGTCCTACCTACCTAGACATAGCGTCATGTCTTGTGTGAGGAATGTTTTCCGCTCTCAGCCTTACCCGCTCTTGAGTGGACCTGTATCGCGTCATTAACGCTAAAAGAATTCGATGTTTCTCAACAGCCTAGAGATCGCGTTTGAAATACTGGTCGTCCGTTCACCCGTCAATTGTCGGCACAAAACACCTTTACTCTACAGCAAACCTCATGAGACTTTGCTTTCTCTTACTTCCTTGTCTTCCTCACCGGTTCTGAATTTCCATCACAGCTTCCAAAATGTCAACGTGAGCCCCACTATACCTACCCCGCGTCAACGCGCAACACAGAAAACACAAACTGACAATCTGAACAGCAACATCACATGGCACCCATCGCTCTCGCGCGACGAGCGCAACACATACCGCAAGCAGAAGGGCTTCACCATCTGGTTCACCGGACTATCTGCATCTGGCAAGTCGACCATTGCGACAGCACTGGAGCAGCATCTCCTCCATCTTGGATTCGCGGCATACCGTCTTGATGGCGACAATGTCCGATTCGGACTGAACAAGGACCTTGGGTTCAGCGAGAAGGACCGAAACGAGAACATTCGAAGAATTGCTGAGGTACGACATTTGGCGCAGAATACGCCTGCGAGAGAGTTTGCCAGCTGACATATCCCTCTACAGGTCGCAAAGCTCTTCGCTGACTCGTCCACAATCGCCATCACATCCTTCATCTCTCCCTTCAAAGCCGACCGCAAGCAGGCGCGCGAACTGCACGCTGTAACCACCGGCTCAGACTCTCCCTTGGCTTTTGTCGAGGTCTTCGTCGACTTGCCGCTCGAAGTCGCTGAGGCGCGTGACCCCAAGGGTCTGTACAAGATGGCAAGGGAAGGCAAGATCCCGGAATTCACAGGTATCAGCTCGCCCTACGAGGCACCTGAGAACGCCGAGATTCACATCAGGAGTGACCAGAAGAGTGTTGAGGACAGCGTCAAGGAGATTGTTGAGTACTTGCAGAGCAAGGGCTTATTGGAGCTCCAGAAGTAGGTCTCTAGATGAAGGGACAACAAGGCCTGAAGCGACACAGGATCACGAAAGTTCCATCGCTGGTTGGATTGAATAAATAATCGAACAAGATTGGCAGACTCCTACGTCGATGCACGAAGGATGATCGAAAGCTGACCAAAGACTTTTGCAAACTATTCCGTCTCTTCACATAGACTAGGATGGTTACACAAACTAACGCCCAGGTGTCATTCAGACTTCGTACATGAATTACGACCACGCAACAATTTCCCTCCTAGGAGTTGATAGCCACAAGCAGCTGTTTCACTAGCCGCACTACGCGCGCATAACGTAGTCGCATCAATCTCTACAGCCACACGTATAACGCGTACTCTGCTCGCTCAGATTACTGCATCAGTCCGTTCAAGCACGTTTGGGGTCATACTGGGATGTGTAGAGGAAGGGATTTCCAACAGTTCATACGGCACAGTCTTAGTTGACGTGAACGATCTTAATGACGCTCCATGCCGCAATGGCAAAGCCACCTGATCCCTGCCTCGAGGAACGAAACCTGAGTGGCTGGCTTTGGGACCAAATAGCGTGTTACACATGCTGTTGAATTCGAGACTCTGTATAGCCGTGTCGAGGGACATTGTGCGTTACGTGGGATATTCTTGAAATAAACACCACCGGACGAATTCAAGTCCACTTAAGACAACAAATTCATGCCCAGCGACATTCGAATTGGCTTACCCTATGATTGCGCAATATGCTAAGCATCATCTCCGAGCACACATCCGCCATCCCTTCTGCCCATCATCCGCCTCCGGAGCAGACCTAGAATCTAACGGCTATCGCAGTCATCAGCCCGCGAAAGTAGAACGATCTCGGATATTCAATCTTTCAGGACACGCCATAGCACCTAAATTTACCTCCGAGCACGGTGGGACATCGGCATCCTTCGCCCAATGAACAACCCCAATCGAACACGAAAAGTCAAGTAATCCTACAAAATTTCATCTCCGCCATCAAGGTAGATTCATTTGGCAACCATTGGCACCGGTATATCAATCCGACATTTCGCGCGCGACTCCACATGTGGTGCTATATGTGAAATGGCGCTAAGATCTCAATGATGCCGCGTTGCGTCTCTGTTTAGCGATAATGATCCTCGATCCTAGTCCTAATATCTTGAACTCAATGGGATGGCGCGTTGCCACTCAGTTGTTTCCCCATATTTTCGCGGAGTTGGGTTATGCGATGGGAATGGTATGAGAAAACCTTATTGAAGCTACGCGAGGGGCCTGGGTGGACCTAGCAAAGTCATGATGAAGGGGACGCTGTGTCATTGCGAACTGGGGATCCTTGTGAATACACTTCTTATCGGCATCGGCATCGATCCCGGTATCAGTCGGTGTTCCTAGGTTGATTTTTATGATGTTGACGTTGATGATTGAGGTTGCGACGGCTGGTGATGTGGGGCGGATGCTCGCTGTGGGATATTGGTAGAGGGCGTCGCGGCTCGGCAGCGGGACGATGGAGAGCGGTCAGCTGTACACGTGTTTGACGACCTGCATAATAGTAGACTATGGGACGACAGTGCCAAAAAGAAAAGTAAGGCTGTCAATGCAGCCTGAAACGCTGGTACACCGTTGACGGCCATGACGGGTGGCGTATGGCGTATTCGTGCGTAGAAAAAGCAATCTCAGCCGGGCCGAGAGATGACGAGTTCAGGGAAAGCAAGTATGCAAGCAGGGTATTGTTCCGGTTGGGGTAAGAGAGGAAGAAGGACCCTGGTCGTTAGCGACTGGAAAGAGTATTGAAGCGTTAGAAATGGGACGATGGTGTTGCTCGAAAAGGGAGAGCCGATGTGATTGTGACAACATGGGAGCAAAGCGCTTCTGCGACAAAAGGAGATACTCCGATTGTCTATCTACCTGCCGTTTGTAATACGATGCCTCTGTCTGGTTGCTGGCATTACGTATCCTTCTTAATGCTAGCTATAGTGAATTACTTTCCGGTAACTGCGCTTCTCGGTCCGTAAATCACAACCTTCCTCCTAGATCCTGCTTGAGAACGTCTAGTATCTTCTTACTATCGACATCCTCGTCGGGTCTGTCGTGCATCTGTACATTACCATCGCCTTCTTTCAGGCGTCGCAATATCTCAGGATCAAGCTCCTTCATCATCTCGTCAAACTCTTTCTGTTGCTCTCCCTCCAACAAGGCATATTCTGCTTCTAACATGAAGTCTTCTGGCAACTTCTCCATATCAACAGGAAATACATGAATGGTTGGAAATTCAAGGATAGTGCGCCCGTGTAAGCTTTCACCTAAAGTGAGAGAAGGATCTAGAGGTATGAGGACGTGGCGATTTGTGCTCGTGCGTGGCTTTAGCAGAAAAACCCTATGTTGCTCATCGCCCATGGATTGGGTGCTTGGCTCACCATCACGATTGTCTCGAGTACGCGTGTCTGTCATGTCCGCTTGTCTTTTGGAGGCGCGTTCCTTTTGCTCTGGAGCAGGGGTTCCTCGTGCGGGGGAGATTACCTCTGCCTCCGCATTGTTGACCTGATCCGTTGAAGCGGGCGCAACGTCATCCTGCGGTTGTGGCGTAGATTTTGTTGGTGAACCTTCACGACGAGGGGCTTCGCTGTTCAGCTTTCTTTTCTTACTTGTACCGTCTGTGCCATGCTGTACGAAGGGCAGTGCGTCCTTTATCGATTGTGTAGAGGATGTCTCAGTAACCACACGTTTCTTGGTTTCATCAAACCATTCGACGGTCCATACTATATTCCGTGAAGCCTTTCTGAACACATAGATCAGCAGTGTCATGTGAGTACGCTGGTGCTAGTAGACTTACTTTGTTGCAGACATGTGTGACTTATTCTCCTTCTGTCTACTCATGCCTTTCGGCGCCTGGATGATCTTAACGCCAGCAGCATTTTCGAGTTTACTATACGAGACGCCCGCTCGCTGGCGGCTAGATAGACCATCTTGAGGAGTGCTCTCAGCTGTAGCGCCTGCAACCCTCTCGGCCTTTTCAAGATTACGTTCTATACCCGAAAGGAAATTGTAATCGTGGTCAATACCCTTTGGGGTTACCAGATCAGACTTTTTAACAAACTTTGTTGGATCTCGCTTGCCTGAGCATTGCGCATTTTGTTGATGACGCTTGTAGCATGGCAGCGAGCATGTACGTGCGCTACACCCAGGACATTTGTACTTGGACCTGCTGCTATGGCTGATTGGTCGTTAGCTTTCTGTTCCGTCTCGGCTGTGTTGTGTTGGCTAATTTCACAGACAAATAGAGCAGAAATCAGATCGATTGCCAGTGAATATGAACTTCTCCAACTTATTACCCGTAGTACGGGGGGAATTCAGCTAGACGTACCATATACTGCATAGTTCATTCAGCAACATTGCATCTGTCATATCGCCCAAATAGTGGAGACGAATAACGTGATATCAGATCGCCAATACTTAGGCCCTCAGATCTGGCGCGCGATGGGGCACGACGGGAAGTCGCTTTCGCACCAAGGGCGGCGGAGAAGCCGTAGGCGTGAACAGGCGCAGGGAAGGTCTGGCGGTAGGTGCTGTTGATCGATGCGACGCGTGTTGTGGCGTGTGAGGCAATGATGGGTTGCGAGGGAAAGTTTCGTATATCGGCGTTGTGGCTGTAGTCAGATATCGTCCCGTCTGAAGATGCGACGACCAGCACCAGAATGCAAGTTTTACAGTAGAGTGACAATCATGCAGATCTACTCTGTAAGCAATTTCGCAACGTTGCTTAGATCGATGCTGCACGCAAGACTGCAGATGCTAGCAGCTATGAAAGTTTGTGTGGTTTGAACTAGCGCGACATCCAAAAACTCTGTCCGCTGCTCTTCGCTCGTCTAGTGCAGATCTATTGCGACGCTTTCCACTCTCTCGGTCACTGTACCCCTATGCGCAAACTTCCCATAAACATGGAAATTGGCGCCTTATCCGTGGCCTTTCAACGAACGATGGTCGGAGCAGGCGCACGCCGCCAGCACACTCGCCAGGCTTCGGGCGACTGGGAACCCTTTCCTTAAGTGCGTCGGAGTATTCTCCACGCCAAATTACATCGAGGTCCACCAGGCGCAGATCAAACCGACGTCGAGCGCGCCGATTTATGCGCTTGCGCTCGTCTACTGCTGTTGAGAGGCAATCGAGTCGTTCTCGTCATGTCCGGCTGCAGCCAGTCCTGTCCTTGTTTGCGCGACCGAACCTGGGCGAAGCCGCCCGATTTGCCAGATAACATTACTGCCCGGTGTTTCAGCCTCACGGATTGCAGCTGCTCTCCGCAAAGCTCAGCAGACAACGAAGTCTGGTTCTAGAGGGTCCACTACACGCGAGACTACTGTACGTGGCCACCACACTTTACCGGACTGTGGAGCCGATCGAGTATCTGGTCGACATCTCGACGGTGCATCTTAGACGTAACTCTCCTGCAGAAAGGGCCTCCCGCCTCCCAGCTACCACGCAGGATCAAACGTGCCTGGCGGGCCTGAGAGCGATCTTCATGTACCGCGTGCTGGGCAGCGACCGATAGCCACCAGCCGTCAGGGGTATGGCTCGCCAATTTCTAAGCACTTCCATTCGCGGTCCGTCCGAGCTGCAAGTGCGGGAACTCTGCTCATGCATGCTGCTGCGAGGATGCACGCTGCGGACGTGCTCATCGTGCACAAGGCTTGCGAATGATTCTAATCCATCCCAATGCGGTATTCAGCATAAGACCATTCCATACGGCGCTATTGCCACCAGCGGGGGTTCTCTGCTGAGGCCGCTGCACGCTCTCGCTGACCGAGTCGTGGTACCAGAGCTTCGGGTGCTTGACGTGGCTGCAGGAATCCTCACAGTATGTGCAAAGAGAGATATTACAACAATGTACATTGTACCGTCCGTCTCTTTTATTGCGGCCCTTGCTGCCGTCGCGCCGCTCGAGGAAGTCGAGCGAGCCGTTATCCAGGAAAAGCGCCCCTGACAGCGCCGTGCACCGTGCCCGGAGACGGACCCTGCGAAGGAGCAGGGATATGCTTCTCATTTCCTCGAACCGAAACTTGTGAAAGCCACCCATGCTAGTCTCCGGGTCGTTCAAACCCCAGCATCCAGTCCGCGCGCTGCGGCAGAGCTCCCCAAAAGCCATCATTCCCCCTTGCTGCTACCCTCCTCTACTGCCCCCAGCAAGGTGACCTCGGAGCCCTCAATTGACGGAGTGCGTAAAAGTACTCACGGTCCGCTCTCTCTTGTCCTCGCGGGTTGCCTATCCGACTCCTCCACGCATAGCCTCATGTTTTTACAGTTATAGCTGTCATAATAATTACTGGATTCTTCCGCCTGCCGCTCCCTACAACCGTACCCGAACGGCTACCTCGATAGGACCGACGTCGACGAACCCGCCAACATGGCCCCTTCTTTAAGTTTGCGACCTCGTACTGGCGCCAGTGAGCGTCCTCCCACCAGAGATAATGCCGACCACAGCCTCATCATCCCAAGCCGGACTTCGTCGCTTCACTCGAGAATAACCCAACCGCTTCCGTCGACTCTCAACGTCAAGCAGGGCGCGAGGAGCCCAAAGACTCTTACTCATGCCTACATGGTGTGCGGTGTTGGACGGGAGCCGTCGCAATGGGTAAAGGCGCCTGCACCATCTCAGGGCAAGATTGGGCACATGAAGGGTGCAGTGGGTACCTTCTGGCTTCCTGAGATCTTGGGCAGCAGCCCAAGATTAGAGCAAGACAACGATATCGCGAGATCTCTGCATGCAGCTATGCGAGTATGTTCATACAACAACGCCATTGTTGTCGCCCTACTGACTAGTATTACAGGCATGTTTCCCTCACGACGTCGAGATTTGCACTGGCAGGAGCCAGCCGCATTGCGTACATCACTCTTTTGTTCTGCAACAAGATTCTTCACACACTCTTTACGGCATTGCGCTGCGCGTCTGGTCTCGCGCTGATGAGAAGAGGGCTGAGACCATCCGGGACCTCCGCAAGCGAATCGAGCCCGACTTTTTCGATAACCCAGACGAGACATACTGGATTCCGTACTGCCTTAGTTTCCTCTCCCGATACCCTTTGTACAACTTGCTCGGCGACTATCTACGCGGTATGTGGATTCACTGGAACAAGGCTACGAATCTGTTCCACGCCGAAGAGGTGTCCCGCATCCTCAGCTTCCCCGCCCCTCGTCTGAACGACCTGGTTCGAATCGACATGAAGGACTATGCGCTGTGCTACCAGTTCCCGTCCTCGCCTACTGGGTTCCAAAATTTCGCCATGTGGCCACTCTTCACGTGTCTGTCAATCCCCAACATCGTTGGTGTGATAGAGGCTGCTGTGTCACCAACACGACGAATCATCTTCACTAGTCATTACCCCGCGATGCTCACGATCGCAGCCGAGACTATCCGCTTCTGCGTGAGGGTTTACGAGTGGAGCGGTCTGTACGTACCCGTCGTACATGCGCGTCACGTCAAGGATCTGGTCCAGGAGCCGGGCCCATACATTCTGGGTGTAACCTCAGAATGCCGATCGCTCTTTACAGCCCCTACAGATGCCCTTGTCGTTGATTTGGACCGCAATTTCGTCCTGACCTCCAGCCCGCCGACTGCTCTTACGGCAGGCCAGAGGACCAAGATGATCCAACGTCTGACGCAGGCTCTGAATGGCGAAGTGTCACCGACTGGTGTTCCACAGCATCTGCGATCAGCGTATGGCGGTGGCAAGCTCATTCCCGCGGGTCAGATCATCGTGATGCGTGGCGAGGTTGAGAGCATCCAGGATCCCGACTGGTGGGCCCAAGACGCGGTTATGTCTGTTATGGATCACGTCTGCGAGAAATTGGTATGTACCCAGCCGCGCGAGTACACATCTGACCACATGCTAATACCACCTCAGGGCCGCAACACTGGAGTCAAGGCCATATTTGGAGGCTCCGTCAAGAAACCATTGATGACTAAGGTGTCGATGCGCCACTTGAACGAGATCGTCCGCGAGCGCAACCAATACTCGCGTGACGCACAAGAAGCCTGGACAGACTTCATTAATCTCAAGCAACGCTTGGACAGCGAGCTCGGTAAAGTTACTAAGAGAAACAACTTCTTGGTCGAGGAGCTTGAGAGCTGGAAACAGCAGTTCCTCAAGTTCCAGGCTTTCGCCGAGCAGCTCACCAAGGAAACCCAGGATCTCAAGGTCAAAATTGAGAACCACAAGCGCGAGAACCGCCGCCTCACCAGTCTCATCGATCAACAGAAGGACGATGCCGCAAGGCTTACTGTCCGGCTGTCTGGTACTGAGAAGCAGCGTGATGATGCTCTCGAAGCGCTTGTGCTTCAACAAGAGATCGCTGAGGAGCTCGAGCGTGAGAGGAAGAAGAACAAGAAGGAGCTTGCTGCACTGCAACACACTAACGGCGCCATCATGCGCCAAAGAGACGAAACGCAACGTGTTGTGCTTCACCTTCGTGCCCTCATCGAGGGTCAAACCCACCACATGGAGCACATTGTCAAGTCGCTCAACCAAGACGACATGTCAAATTACATGGATGCTGGCTTTGAGGATGTTCCTGAGGAGGACGAGGATGAGTTTGAGGACGCTGAGACGCAGACTCAAACTCCGAGCCGCCGTTCTATCAAGGACAAGTCTGAGGTTGGTACTATCCGCGGCGTAGCCGGCGTTGAGAGCCGCCAGGAATCAAGAGCGAGCACTGCACAAGGCAAGCATCTCGACGGAGAGGACGTAACACCTGACATGGAACAGCGCCTATTCAACAACCCTGCACGCAACTCCAAGCGCTTCTCAAACCAGTCAATGGTCGACGTTGCCGACCGTGTCCTTCGCGACAAGACCGACGCGATTGCCTACATCATTCGCAACATCTCAGAACAGTGTGCTGCAGCTGTAGAGGGCCTTCAGCTCGCCCAGCGTGCTGACACTGAAGACGATAGCCACAGTGACCGTCGCAGCAGCGTCGGCCAGATGTCTTCAGCTGGAGGTCGCGCGCAATCAACGATTGGCAGCGAGTACGGCGACGAGGACAACATGCTTCGCCCCAACCGAGGCTCAAGCATTCCCCCAACTCCCGATCTAAGCCACAGGTCTAGCACCTCCATGTCCATGGCCAGCGCCAGCACAACACCAGACCGCCACAGCTTACAGCACCGATCGCACGACATTCCCGTCGTACCAACACGTATCATCGAAGATGATGATGATGTGGACGGCAACGATGTCCACGCTGACATGATCCCCGTGTCCAAGTACGCGACACCACTCCAGCGACCCAACACTGCTGTACGCCACAACCTGCGATAAGCTGATTGACACCGTTGCTTGTTCCGTTCTTCCTCTACTTTGTCTTATCATTAGCGATCGAAATGAGATTAGCATTGATGCCCTTTTCCTTACCATGTTATCTACCCCTGGCGTTGAACGGTCAAATTTAGGGACCCTGTCTTCTTGTTCTGCACTTCGCTACTCTCCTTGAGAACACTGTTGTCTGAGACGACCCCCTTCTACTTTGGGTCATTCCTTATGTTTCTATGAGAAGAGTTGTCTTTGTTGTGGTCATACCCGAAGAAAGACGGATGGATGGAAGCAACTCCAGTATGTAGGTATAAAGCCTGAAGATAAGTTGTGGAAGAAGAAAAGTTCCTTGGAGGAACTCAAGGTGTTCTTTCTTCCATTGCGCTAGGCTGATGAGCAGATAGCTCTTGTGTATATCTGCTTGTAATTTGTTGTTTTGTTAGGATAATACCACTTTCTCCTTTTGTTCGATATACAAACAATCCATCTACATCATGCCTCCTTACCAGCTGTGAACTTTCTATGCTCGACTGCTACCGGCTGGCTGAGATTGGTACCAAGGTGAAGGTGTACCTCTCCGAGCGAACTACAAAGCGATCCTTCACACCTACACATTAGAAACCTTCAATACCGGCACTATACTTGCGCGAGATGACACATTCATGGTCACCATGCCAATTGCTTGGGTAGAAAACTCCCGCGATTGTCAGCACATAAGCTCGCTTTAATACCTCATACGTCCTGTACCCAAAATGCTTTAACCTTCTCCACCCTTAGCACCACTATTGTCATGTTGATTTGCCAACAATCAAGCCAATCAATCTGTGCACCCCGGATTGAATTGGCTTTGTTGATGAGATTGATCGGTCAAAAACGCTTAGATTGATTGGTTTGGTTGATTAGACTGAATCCTATTAATCTGATCAATCAATCTGGCAATTTGAGCTTGACTGACTGCTATTTTACGATATTCTGGATTGAATTGGCTTGCAATACGAATTGTCACAGTTTGATTGATCAGATTGATCTGGATTGATTGTTGGCAAGTCTGCTGTCAACCATGAAAATCACCAACAGCCCGTCTGCTACCCTAGACGAGAGCTTCACCGACTAGATCAAGGTATCGCGAACATGTATGACTATGCAGACTATTTGGAAGAACATGCTAGAGTAGTCGCAAAACAGAAGGCGCTCACATTGCTCACAAACCAGCAAACCTGGACGCCCAGGTTACCATACGAGAGACTGTTCCAGACAACTGGACATTTCTTTTTGCCATCTAAATCGCTCGGCTACAAAACCGGAAAGACTGCGAAAAGACTTTCGCTCGGTCCACGTCATACACCATGCGGCTGTTGAGCACTCGATATGAACAGAACCCAAGAATGGTTTGTCACCAATGTCCGCCATGAAGTCCTTGTTCAAAAACGCCAAAAGCAAGACACCGTATGAATATTCATTCCGCTGTCCCTGTTCGAGCTTCCAATCTACCAGCCCTTGCTATATACATGATCCCAACGAGACGCGCCAATTTCTTGTCGACTCCAAAGAGCTCTACAAGAACATGCCTTACAGAGAACTCACTTCATCCTAGCGGATTTGAGCGGCCAGCGCGTGCATATCTAGCGATCATTCCACGTTCTCCTCAGAGTAGGCGAACATCGGTCACGGCCATCACACCGCTGTCGACAAGGATAACTTGATAGCAAACCGACTTCTGCTCCTCGAACATACAGGAAAGCTTGTTTTTCGGTGTATCCTGGGCTAATGGTTAGTAGCTCGATTGAAAGCTTTTTGCAATGGAGGTTCAATCTGATCATTATTCAACAAGGTTCGTCTCGACAGCAGAGCGAAAAACATGGTGTTTGCTTTGGTTTTGATCAAAGTTTCCATGCGAATTTGAGAAGCCTGATTGAACTGATCGAAGCTTTGCTCGAGTATTAGCAGTAGACTTGACAAATGTGGTTGGTTATCTTAAATAAAGTTAACCAAGTCTGCCAATCGTGATTGCAATCCTTAAGGATGTGAAACAAGTCAATCATGTTAACCAAGTTTATCAAGGTGATTACCGTCCTCAAACCGATTCAAGCAAGCCTACATAGTGTGGTTGTTTATTGACAAGTCTTCACAGAAGAATAGCGAGAATAAGGACTCGCTGAGGTGACACGCCCACAGAAATGCGCCATGTAGTTGTCAATAATCAAGCCAAAGCCTCTAGCTCGATCAATTTGACTTGATTTGAAGAAAACCTCTCACTGTGCTTGGTTGATATGACGGCGAGATTAAGGGTTAGTAGCAATGAAGCCTGTTTGGTAGATCTATCTGACTTGGTTGAAGAAACCCCGTGTCGGTCCGTATAACGGAATTTCATTGCGGGTTCGGTGTGATTACTCTGCATTGTGTGAACGCAAGTGACTCAGTCGCCAGCTGCATTTGTGCTTCATTTGCTCCAAACATGATATTGTTTTGGGATGGGACTAGATAGGGAGATAGAAGGCATAGGTTTGAGACTAAAAAAACACGTGCACGGGGTTGTGTGAGTGGCCATATGTACCGCTGGATTGATAGAAGATGGCGTTGTTATTGATGCTGATACAATGTTGACTGCAGTACCTATACCTGGAAAACTGTGATGGCAATGTCAAACAACCACCCATATAGAATACACGCTGATACACATAGATTTGAAGCGGATTGACAGATTGACCTGTCGTTAACGGGGTGATGCACGAGGATTGTCATTAGATTGGGCGCCAATCCGACAGTATTGCCGCAGATACTTCAAGACAGTCTTTGCATGCATGATCCCGATGTACGAGTACGAACCATACCGGTTTTCCTGCACTGGTTGACGTACGAAGAGAGTACAACGCACGTGTCGATTTGATCCAGCGGATAGCCACGGAGAATTTCTGACACCGAACCCACAATCTTACTCTAAAGGTAGACAGCGGCTGCGTTCTTGCATGAATCTAGTGATAGGACTTACATTAGCTGCACCTAACGGTATGACCGTTGAGGTCTGAGTAGTGTATTGGGAGGCAGTCCTGTAATGTCATGTACCTGTGCAAGTCGAGCCGAGCTTTCGTCCTATGTTTATGGAGGGCCAATGGCGTCTTCAAAAAAGTCTAACTTTAGAAGATGACGGGCCGGCAGTGTAGCGGATGTTACAGGTTACATGTTTCCGATGTCGACAGTGTCAGAAAGCCGCGTAGCTAGATCTGTTCTGACAGTCAAGTGACGTTTTACCTGCATGAAGCCGGCTGAATAGAGTTTGTAGTTTTACGGTACCCGATAGCCGTTGGCGTGATCCTTGTTCAAAAGACGCTCAATCGGCTGTTCGCATGTTGCCGCGGATCACAGTGGTGACACCATAAGTAAAAGGGCCGGGGGGCGGAGGCGAGGCCTGGGACGGCATTGAGAAGGACCGTAATGTGTTGACCGCCTTTCGAATGAAGACGGCAAAGCAACGGGGAAGCGAAGTGGCGAGTGATGAATCTTGACTCGGTCGCAAGCTGCAGTCGAAATAAAGTTCAGCGTGGGGCTACACCATGCAGTAGTCAACATCTCGCGTGTAGCGCACGTGTAAGAGAGAATATCGTAAGGTACATAGTACTTGACAACATTTCTATCGTTCTTACCCCGCATTTCATCGCAAGATTGAGATCGAGCGAGTAGATTGTGTAGTTACCATACCTTGATCTCTGATACATTATGATGCAATTGCGTTGAGATCTTCGACATTCCCGGCCTGCAGAATCTGAGACGAACTGGGGACCAGGGTTGGTACGCGGCTAAGCTTCGCATCTTGGAGAACTCGTGGCTCGCGTATATAAGCTAGGGGACTTGTAACGATGGTGGGTCCTGATTTTAGTGCGGAAGAACGACAGGCGATGAATTCAGTAGCTCTTTGTGTGCTCGACGGAGTCCTGCATTATCAACCAAACATTGCTCGAAGTATCGTTGTAATGATACCGGTGACGATTACCTCTAGCCTCTTCTCTGGTCGTCAACGATGAAAACCTGCAATGACATGCAAGATCGGCGAGGAAACAAGGCATGTCGTGCATATGGTCCCGTAGTCGCGTTTTTAGCACCTATAATAGCCGGCTGTTATTACACTGTGGGTAACGTACCTAGTACGCGAGTGGTTGGGCATCATCCCAAACTTGCTGGTGGCCTACACCATGCTCAGTTACTGCTGTGGGAACGAAGTGCCGGCAGAGCCTGCGGGCATGCCTGAGTTGTCGCTATGGTTTCTGCTCGAAGATATGTCACTGGACCATACAGATTGACATGTCCGCTCATCTCCGGTCCTACCCTGGTACAATCTCTTTTGGCGAGAGGAATGAAGCGGACCATGCGGAAGCAGATGGTGCGTCGAAATTGAAGAAGACAAGGCTCCACGCTCAAGGAGGAAGTGACGTGGGAGAGGATGTGAACATGTCTCAGGATTTTCAAGGTTCGAGGATGCGCAGTTGTCACAACCACATTGCTTAGGGCGGGGTCATCGGCTGGCTGAGGAAAGCACGCGCGAGGTGCTCAACTCATAACGTGCGTGATATTGGTAAGCTTCGTCTCGAGGTGGCTGCCTATGTGGTTGGCTGTTGGCTGCCTATCACGTGGGGGGTCACAACGTCTTCTGCACCAAGTTTGCTTTCAATTCAAGTTTGATTCCTGGCTAACCTGCGCACATGCTTGAGGTACAGTGATGCCATGTGTGTAAAGAGACGGATAAAAAGTGGCGATAGAGTCTGGTCGAGGTGACTTCCTATCTGGGGAGTAGTGCGCCTGCGCCGATGGACATGAATCACTTAGGCACAGGGCGTTGATGGTAGCCAGATGGCAAGTTCCACCGCGCGTAGAATTGCAGCAATCAGGGCGAGGGCCGGAGGGACTACGCTAGACTAACGGATAGTACTCGCGGACTTTTGTCGTTTTCGCAGAAAGGGGCTGCTATAGGGCGAGGAGGCAAAGCCACATGGCGTTGGTAGAGGGCGCTAGAAACA